ATGGTAAAAAAATTGGGATAAAATCTGAAAAAAAATCGGAAAATCTGGAAAAAAGCAGGAAAAAAATGGGATAAAATCAAGGAAAAATGGGATAAAATCAGGGAAAAAATCAGGAAAAATAGGGGAAAAATAGAAAGAAAATCAGGGAAAAATGGGATAAAATCAGGAAAAAGAATGGGATAAAATTGGGATAAAATCAGGGAATAAATCAAAAGAAAATCAGGGGGAAAAGGGAAAAAATTGGGATAAAATCAGGGAAAAATGGCAAAAAAATCAGGAAAAAATTGGGGAAAAATTGGGAAAAAATCAGGGAAAAAATCAGTGAAAAATGGGGAAAAAATTGGGATAAAATGAGGGAAAAATGGGGAAAAAACAGGGAAAAAATGGTGAAAAAATGGGGATAAAATCTGAAAAAAAATCGGAAAATCTGGGGAAAAAACCAGGAAAAAAAATGGGATAAAATCAGGGAAAAATCAGGAAAAATTTGGGAAAAATTGGGACAAAATCAGGGAAAAAATTGGGATAAAGTAAGGAAAAATGGGGAAAAAAAGGGGAAAAATGGGATAAAATCCGGGAAAAATGGCAAAAAAATCAGGAAAAATTTGGGAAAAAATGGGATAAAATCAGGGAAAAAATTGGGATAAAATGAGGGGAAAAAATGGGGAAAAATTTGGGAAAAATGGGAAAAAATCAGGGAAAAATCAGGAAAAATGGGGATAAAATCAGGGGAAAAAATCAGTGAAAAATCAGGAAAAAATAATGGGAAAATCAGGGAAAAAACATGGAAAATTTTGGGGAAAAAATGGGATAAAATCATTGGAAAATGAGGAAAAAAATCAGATATAAATCAGGAGAAAATCAGGGGAAAATGAGGAAAAAATTGGGAAAAAATGGGATAAAATTTGGGAAAAATCAGGGAAAAATGGGGAAAAAATCAAGAAAAAAATGGGAAAAAATGAGGAAAATTTGGGGAAAAAATGGGATAAAATCAGGGAAAAATTGGGAAAAAACAGGGAAAAAATGGTAAAAAAACTGGGATAAAATCTGAAAAAAAATCGGAAAATCTGGGAAAAAAACCAGGAAAAAAAATGGGATAAAATCAGGGAAAAATCAGGAAAAAAAGGGAAAAAATGGGATAAAATCAGGGAAAAAATTGGGATAAAATGAGGGGAAAAAATGGGGAAAAATTTGGGAAAAATGGGAAAAAATCAGATAAAAATCAGGAAAAATGGGGATAAAATCAGGGGAAAAAATCAGGGAAAAATCAGGAAAAAATAATGGGAAAATCAGGGAAAAAACATGGAAAATTTTGGGGAAAAAATGGGATAAAATCATTGGAAAATGAGGAAAAAAATCAGTTATAAATCAGGAGAAAATCAGGGGAAAATGAGGAAAAAATCAGGGAAAAAATGGGATAAAATTTGGGAAAAATCAGGGAAAAATGGGGAAAAAATCAAGAAAAAAATGGGAAAAAATGAGGAAAAATTTGGGGAAAAAATGGGATAAAATCAGGGAAAAATTGGGATAAAATGAGGGGAAAAATGGAGAAAAAATTGGGATAAAATCTGATAAAAAATTGGAAAATCAGGAAAAAAACAAGGAAAAAAATGGGATAAAATCAGGGAAAAATCAGGAAAAATTTGGGAAAAATGGGATAAAATCAGGGAAAAAATTGGGATAAAATGAGGAGAAAGAAATGGGGAAAAATTTGGGGAAAATGGGAAAAAATCAGGGGAAAAATGGGATAAAATTTGGGAAAATATTTTTCTTGGAATTCTTGAAGAAACGCCCCCAAAATTCCCAATTTTTTCCTTCAATTCCCAAAAAACCTCAAAAATTCCCATTTTTTTTAATAATTCCACCCAAAATTCCCAAATTTCTCCTTTTAATTCCCAAAAAAATCCAAAATTCCCGATTTTTTTTTAGAAATTCCCAAAATTCCCAATTTTTTTCCTTTTATTCCCAAAAAAATCCCAAAAAATCCCAATTTTTTTTTAGGATTTCCCCCCAAATTCCCAAATTTTTTCACTCAATTCCCAAAAAAATCCCAAAAAATCCCAAATTTTCGTGGGAATTCCCCAAAATTCCCAAATTTCTTCTTTTAATTCCCAATAAAACCTCAAAAATTCCCAAATTTTCAAAGAAATTCCAAAAAAATCCCCAAAATTCCCAATTTTTTTCTTTAAATTCCCAAAAAAATCCAAAAAAATCCCAAATTTTTTCTAACAATTCCACCCAAAATTCCCAAATTTCTTCTTTTAATTCCCAAAAAACTTCAGAAATTCCTAAATTTTTGTAGAAATTCCCCAAAAAATCCCCAAAATTCCCAATTTTTTCAATATTTTCCCCCCAAATTCCCAATTTCTTCCTTTTAATTCCCAAAAAAATCCAAAACTCCCAATTTTTTTATCAAATTTTCCCAAAAATCCCTAAATTTTTCTAGAAATTCCCCAAAATTCCCAATTTTTTCCCTTTTGTTCCCAAAAAACCTCCAAAATTCCCATTTTTTTAAATAATTCCACCCAAAATTCTCAAATTTTTGTAGAAATTCCCTAAAAAAATCCCCAAAATTCCCAATTTTTTTCAATATTTTCCCCCAAAATTCCCATTTTTTTCCTTCTATTCCCAAAAAAACCTCAAAAATTCCCAATTTTTTTTAGGATTTCCCCCCAAATTCCCAAATTTTTTCATTCAATTCCCCAAAAAATCCAAAATTCCCAAATTTTTGTAGAAATTCCCCCAAAAATCCCCAAAATTCCCAATTTTTTCCCTTTTATTCCCAAAAAAATCCCCAAAATTCCCAAATTTTTGTAGAAATTCCCCAAAATTTCCCAATTTTCTTCTTTTAATTCCCAAAAACCTCAAAAAATCCCAAATTTTTGTAGAAATTCCAATTTTTTCCCTTTTATTCCCAAAAAAATCCCCGGAATTCCCAATTTTTTTCCTTCTATTCCCAAAAAACCTCAAAAATTCCAATTTTTTTTAATAATTCCACCCAGAATTCCCAAATTTCTTCTTTTAATTCCCAAAAAAATCCAAAATTCCCAAATTTTTTCTTTTATTCCCAAAAAAATCCCCAAAAATCTCCAATTTTTTTTAATAATTCCCCCCAAAATTCCCGATTATTTTTTTAATTCCCGAATTTTTATAGAAATTCCCCCAAAATTCCCAAATTTCTTCTTTAAATTCCCCAAAAATCCCCAAAATTCCCAATTTTTTTTAGGAATTCCCCCAAAATTCCCGATTTTTTCTTTAAATTCCCAAAAAAATCCCCGAAAATCTCAAATTTTTTTTAATAATTCCACCCAAAATTCCCAATTTTTTTCCTTTTATTCCCATTTTTTTTACCAATCCCCCCAAATTCCATAAAAATCCCCAAAATTCCCCCAAAAAAACCCCCAAATCCATAAAAAAACCCAGGACAAAACCACGCCAAAAATTCCATTTTTTATTTATTTCCCAAGCTCAAAAATTCCCATTTTTCTCCCAAAATCCCAATTTTCTGCCAAAATTCCCAACTTTTATCCCAAAATTCCCAATTTTCCCCCCAAAATTCCCATTTTTCTCCCCAAAATTCCCATTTTTATCCCAAAAATTCCCATTTTTATCCCAAAATTTCTAATTTTCCACCAAAATTCCCATTTTTATCCCAAAATTCCCATTTTTCTCCCAAAACTCCCAATTTTCCACCCAAAATTCCCATTTTTCACCCAAAAGTTCCCAATTTTTATCTCAAAATTCCCATTTTTCCCCAAATTTTCCCCCCAAAAATCCCAATTTTATCCCAAAATTCTCATTTTTATCCCAGAATTCCCAATTTTAACCCAAAAATTTCCATTTTCCACCCAAAATTCCCATTTTTATCCCAAAAATTTTCATTTTTATCCCAAAATTCCCATTTTTCTCCCAAAATTCCCAATTTTCCCCCCAAAATTCCCAATTTTTCTCCCAAAATTCCCAATTTTCCCCCAAAATTCCCAATTTTTCCCCCAAAATTTCCAATTTTTCACCAAAATTCCCAATTTTATCCCAAAATTCCCAATTTTCCCCCCAAAATTCCCAATTTTATCCCAAAATTCCCAATTTTCTGCTCAAAATTCCCATTTTTTCCCCCAAATTTCCCATTTTTATCCCAAATTCCCATTTTTATCCCAAAAATTTTCATTTTTATCCCAAAATTTTTCATTTTTATCCCAAAATTCCCAATTTTTCCCTCAAAATTCCCAATTTTTCCACTCAAAATTCCCATTTTTCCACCCAAATTCTCAATTTTCACCCAAAAATTCCCATTTTTATCCCAAAAATTCCCAATTTTCACCCAAAAATTCCCATTTTTATCCCAAAAATTCCCATTTTTTCCACCCAAATTCCCAATTTTTCCACTCAAAATTCCCGTTTTTATCCAAAAATTCCCATTTTATCCCAAAATTCCCATTTTTTTCACCCAAAATCCCAATTTTCCCCCCAGAATTCCCAATTTTCACCCCCAAAATACCCATTTTTCTCCCAAAAATTCCCATTTTTATCCCAAAATTCCCATTTTTATCCCAAAATTCCCAATTTTCCCCCCAGAATTCCCATTTTTTTTCACTCAAAATCCCAATTTTCTGTCAAAATTCCCATTTTTATCCCAAAATTCCCATTTTTCCCCCCAAAATTCCCAACTTTTATCCCAAAATTCCCAATTTTCCACCCAAATTCCCAATTTTTCACTCAAAATTCCCAATTTTCTACCAAAAATTCCCAATTTTTCCACCCAAATTCCCAATTTTCCACCCAAAATTCCCATTTTTCACCCAAAATTCCCAATTTTTATCTCAAAATTCCCATTTTTTCCCCAAATTTTCCACCAAAATTCCCATTTTTCCCCCAAAATTCCCATTTTTATCCCAAAATTCCCAATTTTCCTCTCAAAAATTCCCAATTTTATCCCAAAATTCCCATTTTTATCCCAAAAATTCCCAATTTTTATTCCAAAATTTCTAATTTTCCCCCCAAAATTCCCGTTTTTCACCCAAAATTCCCATTTTTTTTTGTTTTTTTCTCAATTTCCGGGGATTTTCCCCCATTTTTTGTCGTTGTTCCTGGAATTAATCGGAATTGTGTGGAATTTTCTGGAATTCTTCCTGGCTTTTGTTGAAGAGTTGAGCCAGGATTTGATGGGAAATCCCAGGGAAATATTGATTCATCCTCAGCGTCTGCAGCTGCCAAACAAAAACAAAATTGGGAATTAGAATGGGAAAAATTCCCAATTTTCACCAAAATTCCCATTTCTATCCCAAAATTCCCATTTTTATCCCAAAATTCCCAATTTTCTGCTCAAAATTCCCAATTTTCTGCTCAAAATTCCCAACTTTCCCCAAGAAAATTCCCATTTTTTCCACCCAAATTCCCAATTTTTCCACTCAAAATTCCCATTTTTATCCCAAAATTCCCGTTTTTCACCAAAATTCCCATTTCTATCCCAAAATTCACAATTTTCTGCTCAAAATTCCCAATTTTCCCAAAAAAAATTCCCATTTTTCACCAAAATTCCCATTTTTAGCCCAAAATTCCCATTTTTCACCCCAAAATTCCCATTTTTCATCTCAAAATTCACAATTTTCCCCCAAAAATTCCCAATTTTTCCACCCAAAATTCACATTTTTATCCCAAAATTCCTATTTTTATCCCCAAATTCCCAATTTTTCCCCAAAAATTCCCGTTTTTATCCCAAAAATTCCCATTTTTATCCCAAAATTCCCATTTTTATCCCCAAATTCCCAATTCTCTGCTCAAAATTCCCAATTTTTCTGCAAAATTTCCATTTTTCGCCCAAAAATTCCCATTTTTATCCCGAAATTCCCATTTTTCACCCCAAATCCCAATTTTCGCTTCAAAATTCCCAAATTTTCCACCCAAAATTCCCTATTTTCTCCCCAAAATTCCCATTTTTATCCCAAAATTCCCATTTTTCACCCAAATTCCCAATTTTAACCCAAAATTCCCATTTTTCATCTCAAAATTCTCATTTTTCACCCAAAAAATTCTCATTTTTATCCCAAAATTCCCAATTTTCCACCCAAAATTCACATTTTTCACCCCAAAATTCCCATTTTTTTACCAATCCCCACAAATCCCATAAAAAAACCCCCAAAATTCCCCAAAAAACCCCCAAATCCATAAAAAAAACCTCAGGATAAAACCACGCCAAAAATTGCATTTTTTATTCCCAAAAATTCCGGGAAAAACGATAAAACCACAGGAATTCCCAAATGTTCTCCAGTAACCCTCAAAATTCCCGATTTTCCCCAAAATATTCCAAATTTTTCCACCCAAATTCCCAATTTTCCCAAAAAAATTCCCATTTTTATTCCAAAATTCCCAATTTTAACCCAAAATTCCCATTTTCCACCAAAAATTCCCATTTTTATCCCAAAATTCCCAATTTTCCACCCCAAAATTCCCATTTTTATCCCAAAATTCCCATTTTTATCCCAAAAATTCCCAATTTTTATCTCAAAATTCCCATTTTTTCCCCAAAATTCCCAATTTTCTGCTCAAAATTCCCAATTTTTATTCCAAAATTCCCATTTTTTAACCAGAATTCCCATTTTTATCCCAAAATTCCCAATTTTTCACCCAAAATTCCACCAAAATTCCCATTTTTCACACAAAAATTTCCAATTTTCCACTCAAAATTCACAATTTTCATCCCAAAATTCCCATTTTTTCCACCCAAATTCCCAATTTTCTCCCAAAATTCCCAATTTTTCTGCAAAATTCCCAATTTTCAACTAAAATTCCCAATTTTCCTCTAGAATTCCAATTTTTGAATGAAAATGGGGGAAAAATGGGAAAAAGCAGGAAAAAACATCAGAAAAAAGGGAGAAAAATGGAAAAAAAATGGGGAAAAAATGGAAAAAAATTAGAAAAAAATGGGGAAAAAAGTGGGAAAAACGGGAAAAATGGGGGGAAAAAAAGGAGAAAAAATGGGATAAAAAAGGAGGAAAAATGGAATAAAAATGGGAGAAAAATGGGATAAAAATGGGGGGAAAATGGGATAAAAAATCAGGAAAAAATGGGGGAAAAATCAGGAAAAATCAGAAAAAAATGGGGGGAAAAAAAGGAGGAAAAATGGGAAAAAATGGGGAAAAAATGGGAAAAAATTGGGATAAAAAAGGAGGAAAAATGGGAGAAAAATGGGGGGAAAAATGGGATAAAATCAGAAAAAAATGGGAAAAATTGGGAAAAAAAAGGAGGAAAAATGGGGAGAAAACGGAAAAAATGGGGAGAAAAAGGAGGAAAAATGGGAAAAAAATGGGGAAAAAATGGGGAAAAATGGGAAAAAAATGGGGAAAAAATGGGATAAAAAAGGAGAAAAAATGGAATTAAAATGGGGAAAAAACAGGAAAAAAAATCATTAAAAAATCAGAAAAAAATCAGGAAAAAATCAGAAAAAAATGGGGAAAAAATCTTAAAAAAAATTTAAAAACTGGAGAAAAATTGGGAATAAAATTTGGGAATATCCTGGAGGAATTTTGGGAATTCTCACCTGGTTGCCTGTGCTGTAGGCGAGCACGAGGGAGAAAAATGGGGAGAAAAATGGGAAAAAATCAGTGAAAAATGGGGAAAAAAGGAGGAAAAATGGGGAAAAAATGGGGAGAAAACAGTGAAAAAATGGGGAAAAAATGGGAAAAAATGGAAGAAAAACGGGGAAAAAATGGGGAAAAAAAAGGAGGAAAAATGGGATGGAAAAAGGAGAAAAAATGGGAGAAAAATGGGGAAAAAACAGGAAAAAAATCAGAAAAAAATCGGAAAAAATCAGAAAAAAATCAGAGAAAATCAGAAAAAAATGGGAAAAAAATCAGAAAAAAATGGGGAAAAATGGGGGAAAAATGGGATAAAAAATCAGGAAAAAATGGGGGAAAAATCAGAAAAAAATGAGGAAAAAAAGGAGGGAAAATGGGAAAAAATGGGAAAAAAATGGGAAAAAATTGGGGAAAAAATGGGATAAAAAAGGAGGAAAAATGGGAAAAAAATGGGGAAAAGATGGGATAAAATAGTAGGAAAAAATGGAATAAAAATGGGGAAAAAACAGGAAAAAAATCAGAAAAAAATCAGAAAAAAACAGAAAAAAATCAGAAAAAAATCAGAAAAAAATCAGAAAAAAATCAGAAAAAAATCGGAAAAAAATCCTAAAAAAATTTAAAAAGTGGGGAAAAGTTTGGAATAAAACTTGGGAATATCCTGGGGAAATTTTGGGAATTCTCACCTGGTTGCCTGTGCTGTAGGCGAGCACGAGGGAGAAAAATGAGAAAAAATGGGAAAAAAATGGGGAAAAAATGGAAGAAAAATGGGAAAAAATGGGATAAAATAAGAAAAAAATGGGAAAAATTGGGGAAAAAAAGGAGGAAAAATGGGAAAAAAATGGGAAAAAAATGGAAGAAAAATGGGAAAAAAATGGGAAAAAATGGGGAAAAAATGGGAAAAATTGGGAAAAAAATGGAGGAAAAATTGGAGAAAAATGGGGGAAAAATGGGATAAAAAATCAGGAAACAATGGGGGAAAAATCAGAAAAAAATGGGGAAAAAAAAAAGGAAAAATGGGGAAAAATGGAAGAAAAATGGGAAAAAAATATGGGGAAAAATGGGAAAAAATGGGGAAAAAAATGGGATAAAAAAGGAGGAAAAATAGGAGAAAATTGGGAGAAAAATGGGGGGAAAAATGGGATAAAATCAGAAATAAAAGGGAAAAATTGGGAAAAAAAAGGAGGAAAAATGGGGTAAAAATGGGAAAAAATAGGAAAAAAATAGGAAAAAAACGGGGAAAAAAATGGGAAAAAACCGGGGAAAAAATGGGATAAAAAAGGAGGAAAAATGGGAAAAAAATGGGAGAAAAATGGGGAAAAATGGGATAAAGAATTAGAAAAAAATCAGAAAAAATCAGAAAAAAATTGGAAAAAAATCGGAAAAAAATCAGAAAAAAATGGGGAAAAAATCTAAAAAAAATTTAAAAATTGGGGAAAAGTTTGGAATAAAACTTGGGAATATCCTGGAGGAATTTTGGGAATTCTCACCTGGTTCCCTGTGCTGTAGGCGAGCACGAGGGAGAAAAATGAGAAAAAAGAGGGGAAAAAAATGGGGAAAAAATGGGAAAAAATGGAAGAAAAAGGAGGAAAAAATGGGGAAAAATGGGATAAAATAGGAGGAAAAATGGGGAGAAAAATGGGAAAAAATGGGGAAAAAAAGGAGGAAAAATGGGAAAAAATGGGGAAAAAATGGGGAAAAACTGGGATAAAATTGGAGGAAAAATGGGAGAAAAATGGGGAGAAAACACAGAAAAAATGGGGGAGAAATGGGAAAAAAATGGGAAAAAATGGGAAAAAAATGGGAAAAAAATGGGAAAAAAATGGGGAAAAATGGGGAAAAAATGGGGGAAAAATGGGAAAAAAATGGGGAAAAATGGGGGAAAAATGGGGAAAAATGGGATATAAAAAGGAGAAAAAATGGAATAAAAATGGGGAAAAAACAGGAAAAAAACCCATAAAAAAATCAGAAAAAATCAGAAAAAAGTTAAAAAGTGGGGAAAAGTTGGGAATAAAATTTGGGAATATCCTGGAGGAATTTTGGGAATTCTCACCTGGTTGCCTGTGCTGTAGGCGAGCACGAGGGAGAAAAATGAGAAAAAAGAGGGGAAAAAATGGGAAAAAAATGGAAGAAAAATGGGAAAAAATGGGATAAAATAGGAGGAAAAATGGGGAGAAAAATGGGAAAAAATGGGGAAAAAATGGGGAAAAAAAGGAGGAAAAATGGGAGAAAAATGGGGAGAAAACACAGAAAAAATGGGGGAGAAATGGGAAAAAAATGGGGAAAAATGGGAAAAAAATGGGGAAAAAATGGGAAAAAAATGGGGAAAAATGGGAAAAAAATGGGGGAAAAATGGGAAAAAAATGGGAAAAAAATGGGGAAAAATGGGGGAAAAATGGGGAAAAATGGGATAAAAAAAGGAGAAAAAATGGAATAAAAATGGGGAAAAAACAGGAAAAAAACCCATAAAAAAATCAGAAAAAATCAGAAAAAACCAGAAAAAAATCAGAAAAAAATGGGGAAAAAATCGGAAAAAAATTTAAAAATTGGGGAAAAGTTGGGAATAAAATGTGGGAATATCCTGGAGGAATTTTGGGAATTCTCACCTGGTTGCCTGTGCTGTAGGCGAGCACGAGCAGCAAATCCTCGTGGCACAAACTCTGGATGAAATGTTGGGATCCCAGCGGGAAGAAAACGACGTCACCCACGGAGACGGAAAAGAGGGAGGAGCCTTCGGGAAGGACCACGCCCACCTGGGGAAATTCCCGGGAAATTGCCCAGGTTAGGGGAAAGTGGGGAAATTGGGAATTTTGGGGGGGAAAATGGGGAAAAATGGGAATTTTGGGGGGAAAAATGGGGAAAAAATAATGAGAAAATAGGGAAAAAAATGGGAATTTTGAAAGGAAAAATATAGGATTTTTGACAGGAGAAATGGGGAAAAAATAAGGGAAAAATAGGGGAAAAAATGGGAATTTTGGGGGGGAAAATGGGGAAAAATGGGAATTTTGAGGGGGAAAATGGGGAAAAAATGGGAATTTTGAGAGGAGAAATGGGGAAAAAATAAGGGAAAAATAGAGGAAAAAATGGGAATTTTGGGGGGGAAAATGGGGAAAAAATGGGAATTTTGAGAGGAGAAATGGGGGAAAAAATGGGAATTTTGGGGGGGAAAATGGGGGGAAAAAATGGGAATTTTGAAAGGAGAAATGGGGAAAAATGGGAATTTTGGGGGGGAAAATGGGGGAAAAAATGGGAATTTTGGGGGGAAAAATGGGGAAAAAATAATGAGAAAATAGGGAAAAAAATGGGAATTTTGAAAGGAAAAATATAGGATTTTTGACAGGAGAAATGGGGAAAAAATAAGGGAGAAATAGGGGAAAAAATGGGAATTTTGAGGGGGAAAAATGGGGAAAAAATGGGAATTTTGAGAGGAGAAATGGGGAAAAAAATGGGAATTTTGGGAGGAGAAATGGGAAAAAAATAAGGGAAAAATAGAGGAAAAAATGGGAATTTTGAGATGAGAAATGGGGAAAAAATAAGGAGAAAATGGGGAAAAAATGGGAATTTTGAGAGGAGAAATGGGGAAAAAATAAGGGAAAAATAGAGGAAAAAATGGGAATTTTGGGGGGGAAAATGGGGAAAAAAATGGGAATTTTGAGAGGAAAAATGGGGGAAAAATAAGGGAAAAATAGGGGAAAAAATGGGAATTTTGAGAGGAGAAATGGGGAAAAAAATGGGAATTTTGGGGGGAAAAATAGGGGAAAAAATGGGGGGGAAATGGGAATTTTAAGAGGGAAAATAGGGGAAAAAATGGGAATTTTGAGAGGAGAAATGGGGAAAAAATAAGGAAAAAATAGGGGAAAAAATGGGAATTTTGAGGGGGAAAATGGGGGAAAAAATGGGAATTTTAAGAGGGAAAAATGGGGGAAAAATAAGGAGAAAATGGGGAAAAAAATGGGAATTTTCAGAGAAAAAAGTGGGGGAAAAATGGGAATTTTGAGAGGAAAAATGGGGAAAAAATAAGGGAAAAATAGGGGAAAAAATGAGAATTTTGGGGGGAAAATGGGGAAAAAAATGGGAATTTTGGGGGGAAAAATGGGGAAAAAATAAGGGAAAAATAGGGGAAAAAATGGGAATTTTGAGGGGGAAAAATGGGGAAAAAATGGGAATTTTGGGAGGAGAAATGGGGAAAAAAATGGGAATTTTGGGAGGAAAATGGGAAAAAAAATGGGAATTTTCAGAGGAGAAATGGGGGAAAAATAAGGGAAAAATAGGGGAAAAAATGGGAATTTTCAGATGAGAAATGGGGAAAAAAATGGGAATTTTGGGAGGAGAAATGGGAAAAAAATAAGGAGAAAATAGGGGAAAAATGGGAATTTTGAGAGGAGAAATGGGGAAAAAAATGGGAATTTTGAGGGGAAAATGGGGAAAAAAATGGGAATTTTGGGGGGGAAAATGGGGGAAAAAATGGGAATTTTAAGAGGAGAAATGGGGAAAAAATAAGGGAAAAATAGGGGAAAAAATGGGAATTTTGAGAGGAGAAATGGGGAAAAAATAAGGGAGAAATAGGGGAAAAAATGGGAATTTTGAGAGGAGAAATGGGGAAAAAATGGGAATTTTGAAAGGAGAAATGGGGAAAAAATGGGAATTTTGGGGGAGAAAACGGGGGAAAAATGGGAATTTTAAAAGATAAAATGGGGGAAAATTGGGAATGTTGATGGGAAAAAAATGGGGGGAAAATGGGAATTTTAAGAGGGAAAATGGGGAGAAAATAAGGAGAAAATAGGGAAGAAATGGGAATTTTGAGAGGAGAAATGGGGGAAAAATAAGGGAAAAATAGGGGAAAAATGGGAATTTTGAGAGGAGAAATGGGGAAAAAACATGGGAATTTTGGGGGGGAAAATGGGGAAAAAATGGGAATTTTGAAAGGAAAAAAAAGGGGAAAAAATGGGAATTTTGAAAGGAGAAATGGGGAAAAAATGGGAATTTTGGGGGAGAAAACGGGGGAAAAATGGGAATTTTAAAAGATAAAATGGGGGAAAATTGGGAATGTTGATGGGAAAAAAATGGGGGGAAAATGGGAATTTTAAGAGGGAAAATGGGGAGAAAATAAGGGGAAAATGGGGGAAAAAATGGGAATTTTGAGAGGAGAAATGGGGAAAAAATAAGGGAAAAATAGGGGAAAAAATGGGAATTTTCAGAGGAGAAATGGGGAAAAAAATGGGAATTTTGGGAGGAGAAATGGGAAAAAAATAAGGTGAAAATGGGGAAAAAATGGGAATTTTGAGAGGAGAAATGGGGAAAAAATAAGGGAAAAAAAGGGGAAAAAATGGGAATTTTGAGAGGAGAAATGGGGAAAAAACATGGGAATTTTGGGGGGGAAAATGGGGGAAAAAATGGGAATTTTGAAAGGAAAAAAAAGGGGAAAAAATGGGAATTTTGAAAGGAGAAATGGGGAAAAAAATAGGAATTTTGGGGGGGAAAATGGGAAAAAAAAAGGGAATTTTAAGAGGAGAAATGGGGAAAAAATAAGGGAAAAATAGGAGAAAAAAGGGAATTTTGAGAGGAAAAAAAGGGGAAAAAATGGGAATTTTGAAAGGAGAAATGGGGAAAAAATAAGGGAAAAATAGAGGAAAAAATGGGAATTTTGAGAGGAGAAATGAGGAAAAAAATGGGAATTTTGGGGGGGGAAATGGGGAAAAAAATGGGAATTTTGGGGGGGGAAATGGGGGAGAAAATGGGAATTTTGGGGGGAAAAATGGGGAAAAAATAAGGGAAAAATAGGGGAAAAAATGGGAATTTTGAGGGGGAAAAATGGGGAAAAAAATGGGAATTTTAAGAGGGAAAAATGGGGGAAAAAATAAGGGAAAAATAGGGGAAAAAATGGGAATTTTGAGAGGAGAAATGGGGAAAAAAATGGGAATTTTGGGGGGGAAAATGGGGGAAAAAATGGGAATTTTGGGGGGGAAAATGGGGGAAAAATGGGAATTTTGAAAGGAGAAATGGGGAAAAAAATAGGAATTTTGGGGGGGAAAATGGGGAAAAAATGGGAATTTTGGGGGAAAAATGGGGAAAAAATGGGAATTTTGGGGGGGAAAATGGGGGAAAAATAATGAGAAAATAGGGAAAAAAATGGGAATTTTGGGGGGAAAATGGGGGAAAAATGGGAATTTTGGGGGGGGAAATGGGGAAAAAATGGGAATTTTGGGGGGGAAAATGGGGAAAAAAATGGG